AAGAAAGAAAGAAAGAAAGAAAACACATGGCCGGCAAGCCACTCCCACCAGGTCATATGGTCGGCAAGCCACTCCCACAAAGGAGGCCACACCCACAGAGTAGGTTCGAAAAATTTTTGAAACCCACCACTGCTACATCCCATTAAAAGCAATGGAACATATATTTAAGTTGCATTGCCAATAAACTGCTCCCATTATTTGTATCGGATTGCGGTTAGGACTTAACATTTCCACCCAAGAAGCCCTGATAGAAAGAAAGAGAAATAATCAACGGACACAGGAATGTTTCTTATTGGAAGTGTGCTTCCACCATTTTTTATTGAATTGCATGAACCCATTACTCACATTGGAACTTGATTTAGAGCAAGGGTTCACCTTTTAGGTTTCTCTCTGCTGTAAATCAAAACTTTTGAGTTGTACTTCATTTAAAAACAGGTTTTTAAAAAGCTCCTATACACAAACGCTCAGTGCCTTTCCACAATGTGACCGCTTTACACTTGGGTTTTTATGGTTGAGGACTTCTAGGTTAGAATACATGACCTCTTGCTGGCTCTGGTTAATGGGAAGTGAGGAGCAAATTGATCCCTGCCTCACAAGGTCCAGTTTTCCCATTCATCCTACAGATTTGTTTACAGGATCCAAGGAAAGGAGGGAAATATTTTGAGCCAGGAACGGCTAACAACGATTCAAAGGAAGCATTGGAAGATGGTCAGTTGTGCAAAAGGGTTCTTTCTCCCGCAACGATTTCACTCCTCTCCTTTGTTCCTCCTAGATATGGTTATCCATGCTTCTTCCTTGGGTGATGTAACCAGCTCATACTTCGTGTCAATGACTTGGCCTTCCACAGGTTGAAGGTGGAGCTTCCTCACAATCACGCTCAGGAGAACCGTAGCAACTGTACAGGCAAACCTAGCCGTGGCAAAAAAGATCAGCCAAATCATTGGAATTCACAGTTAAAAGAAACAGAAAGATACCCATGGAAGGAACCCACATCTTGCTGTCAGAGGCATGTGAATCCTTCCTAAAAGAAATCTCTGATAGATCAGTCACCCTTTGGGCACTGTGGAATGAGAGGCTAAGGAAGAAGGGGTGGGTGTTTTTCAGAGGTGGGTTCCTACCAGTTCGCACCTATTCGGTAGAACCGGTTCGTCAAATCTACCGAACCGGTTAGACGAGGTTCCATCAGTGGACCCGGAAAGCAGGCCACACCTACAGAAGAGGCTCCAAAATTTTTTGAAACCCACCACTGGTCCTTGGATATGATTATTCTACAC